CCCCCCCCCCCCGGTGATTAAAGGCACGATCCTTCGGGAGGTTCTGCGCTGGCGCGCTGGAATTCCTCCCGAGCCTGGGCCTCGAGCTCGGCTAGCTCGCGTCTCCTGGCCTGGAGTTCTTGTAGTCGAACGTATGCTGCCCTTTTAGATTCTGACCAGCGGGCCTCCGGTTATCGAACACCCTCGTCGACTTCCCTGGCACGTTGATCGGCCCTTTTCTGCTTCTTCCCCCCCCGCTGCCTTGTTGCGCAGGGGATGCCTGAGGGATCTAACTTCTGTTTCCTCTCAGACATAAGTTGCGGATAAGGCTCTCAGCAGCTAATCCAACCGAAGGGCGCAGATGCAGAAAGGCAGCGCAGTTTCAGCGCAGAAGCAGCAAAACTCAACACCCTGAACCCTGAACCCCTTCTAAGTCTGGAGGCGAATTGGTTTTTGGAGATGCTTGGGGCAGAAGGTTGCCATGAATCGGGAGGGGGTTTTGGCAAGGTTTGTTTTCCAAGGGGGGAGCTCTGGTGGAGGAGGCTAGCGCCTTTAAAGCATGGTTTCAGCCAAGTCCGTGGCCCACGCGGGGTTTAGGGTTTGGGGCCAGGTTGGGGTCCAGGGATTAAACAAGCCTAAACATTAAGCAGGGCCGGAGTGAAGAAATTCCAGAGGTGGCCAAGCAAGAAATGCTTCGTGAAAGGCTCATGTCATCTGTAAAACACTCAGTTCTTCAAGCATGCAATCGCCTAGCCCAAGCAAGGCAACCCCACCCTGATAAATATTCCAGCCGCCGCAGAACAATCGTGTTTAAACGATTTAAAGTTTCGACCCTAAAGTGTAGAGCAACTAAGCCCAGGAACATAAAGTCTGAAACGAAGCCTTAAAACCCTAATCTCAACCCTCAACCCCCCCCAAACCCTAGAAGGAGTGTTGGGTGGCAGGCCCGAAACCCGCCAAATTCATTTGGGAGGGTCGGATCAGGCCACCAGCTGACCNNGGGGGGTATTAATCAAGAGTTCCCATTACCATTAGGGCCCTAGACAACCTAAACAACCACTTCTGGAACACTAAAGAATGGATTTCACAACTGATGGTCTTTGTCTGGCTAGGATCTTGCAATACTAAACCCCTAAAGCTCTAAAACTCACACGGAAGGCTCCCCGACATCACCGGGGTCTGCGTCCGTCAGCTTCGACAAGGACTCCAACCCGACCTCTTCACGGTTTAGGGTGTCGGGTTCAGGGGTTCAGGGCTTAGGGTTTAGGGTTTAGGGTGTCTGGTGCAGGGCTTAGGGTTTAGGGTTTAGGGTGTCGGGTTCAGGGCTTAGGGTGTCGGGTTCAGGGCTTAGGGTTTAGGGTTTAGGGTGTCGGGTTCAGGGCTTAGGGTTTAGGGTTTAGGGTGTCTGGTTCAGGGCTTAGGGTTTAGGGTTCAGGGCTTAGGGTTTAGGGTGTAAGGTTCAGGGCTTATAGGGTTTAGGGTGTAAGGTTCAGGGCTTATAGGGTTTAGGGTTCAGGGTTTAGGGCTTTCGGGATAATTCTGTTCGTTCAGCAGTCTGTTCTCATCTGAGAATCTAAAGGCGATTGCCCGAATGCCCAACATGTCACGACAGCCTTGCATTCTCTGATGCACGACCCCTAAACCCTAAACCCTATAAACCCTGAATCCCCGACACCCCAAATCCCTCAAACCACCCAAAAAAATAACCTCACTGAACCCGATCAACTCCATATAGGCCTTACTGTAGGGCCTACACCCTCAACCCTAAACCTACGGTAGGGGCCTGAACAACTGGAATAGGGTGTTGGGGGTGATTTCGGGCATGAGTCTGAAGCGACGAAAGTTTCAGGACGACTTGTGCATCGATTTTCTATGCGATTCTTCTAATACGGAATCCTAAGGAGTAAAATGGGTAATTATTACGCCTTTTTTATTTGAGTAACCAGAACTAGACGCCCTCACCCCGAAAGCCCAAAGCCACTAACTCTGTGAAACCGAACTTAAAACTCTCGGCCCATTGCAGCCCGCAACAAGGGAGTACTACACCTTCCCTCAACCTAGACATCGCCTTAGACGGGTCACCAGCTTTACCTTGTTCACTACGGTCTGTGTCAAAGGCCAGCGGTGCGATTCAACAAATCCTGGGTTAGTTGCAGCTTCAAGGGTTCAGGGTTTAGGGCTTCTCGTCCGTGAGAGCCTATCGAAGAGCTCCGTCACGGACCCGCCATAGTTACAGAGCGAGAAGACTGAAGCGCGGGCTGCATCGTGAAAGGACGAGCCACGCCGGATTCGCCATCCGTCTGCAAGAGCCGCACCGACCACTCTTACGCCCACCGTTATGCGTTCTTGCACGCACAGAACCGTTGTTCAATGCTTTTCTCAAGACTCGCGAGTGGGCTCAAGTGAACCCTCAGCGAAGTGCGCCAGTGGCCAGCCGGTCGTTGTCCCACATCTTGTGTGGTTCATCCCAATTTAAGGAACCTGCAGTAGGGAGAGCACTATAAAGAGGAAACCACTGGGTCCATCCCAGTGAATCCCGGTCACTCCGAACATGCAGACAGTGGGCACTCTCGCCAACAATCTCCAGACGAGTTTGCTTCGTGGCCTTGTCGAAGATGGCTGCTCTCCGCAACTGCCCACGGCCAAACAGCTCATCGTCCACCTGGCCTTTCTCCAAGTAATACCTCACCTCGGTCTTGGCCAGCCTCTTGACAGGGTGCTCCCGGATGAAGTGAGCAAGGCTGAGCTTGGCCCCTGCCTGCAAACTCGAGCCCTTCCCCGCATCTCATCGACCTGCGTATGGTCCGTGCGCAATGTCTCCTTGTGCAGTGTGTGCTATGAATTGCTGTCCTTGAACCCTTGACCTGCATTCCAAGACTTCTGATCCCATCAGACCCCCCTCTAAAAAGGAAAACGCCACAGCCTCAATCCTTAACCCAAGCCCCTCAACTAAACCCTTTATATAAACCCCTTACTGTATGCGCCAAGCCCTAAACACGAAGCCCCAATCCCCAAACCCTAACCATGCCCTGATCTCAAAAAAAAAGACCTTAGCCTTCAACTTTAAAGCTTCTGAAAAAGAATCATAACTAATCTTACGCCCAGTATTCCCTGAACCCTAAACCCAAAGGCCTACCTAATAACCGCTCCTTGAAGTTCTTGTACATCTCCTCCGTCATGAACAACGACCCCTCGAGGCCTCAAGTGGAGGGCTTTAAAATGCAAGGGGCTTTGGGCTCTTAGGGTTTGGGTTTAAGAATTCGGGGTTTAGGGGTTTAGGGTTTATAGGGGTTTAGAGTTTAAAGGGTTTAAGGGTTTGAGGTTTAGGGGTTTAGGGCTTTAGGGTTTAGGGGATAGGTTTTAGGGGCTTAGGGTTGAGGGGTTTAAGGTTTAGTATCTTGACCCTCGGAGTCCCGCGTTGGTTGTAGTTTTCGAAACTCCTCGAAACCCGGCTCCCAACTTCAAAGCCAGGTTTGGCTCGAGTATACCCTAAACCCTAAACCCTAAACCCAAAACCCTACAAACCCTATAAGCCCTAAACCCTAAACCCTAAACCTTGATGGAGGTTTTGGGTTGACCAGATGTACTCGTAACTGGATCCTGTAGTCCTATGCCTACAATAGTCCATTGTAGTTCCTTTTGGGGTTACCTTATCGGATCCTAATTTTAATAAAACTGCTTAAACAAAGAAGGAAGTACAATGGAGACTCCCCTAAACCCTAAACCCCAAACCCTCTGAAACTACACACAGTGAACTCTTGACCTTACAGCACCAGCCCTACTACACCTTCCCAGATTTTCCAAAGCCCATGAATTAAGGAATATACCTTAAATTCTAGTAGGACCCCAAATATGATTTAAGGTATATTCCTTAATTAAGGGGTTTTGGAGTCTCTGGGATTTTCAAAACCTCGAACCCTGAACTGAATCTAAGCCCCACGAGCCTTGAATAGTCACGGGAATCTGGGATTGGGATGCGGGGGTTTGGCTAAAATCTCACAAGGGAAAACGACTTGTGAGGAGGTTGATGTAGGCCACCATGCTTGACGGGAGTGAGGCTGAGGAGCCTAGACACCCTGCTAATTAAGATAGGAGCCGAATTAAGAAACCCTGAGTCTTTGTTAAGTTACGGTTCTTAATATGAGCCCTACCCTTTGGGGGTTGTAAGACTTGGGTTCCTTAATCAGGTTCCTACAGTACTGTTGAACAGCAACGTATCGATAGATCCTCTTGATAGCTAGCAGGGGTTTAGGCTTCAGGGCTCTTGATGCTAGGAACGATCAGGAACTACTGCCCGAATAGTCTTCCCAATGCCCGACAATTGAAGTATGTTAGATCTAGTACAAAGGTCTTCTAGAGGATCCTTTACATCTTTCGAGGCAGAATAGTAGTTGCTTCAGGCATCTTAAGGGGTATGCGGCCATCCAGGTAAGTAGGTCAAAGCCACACGGCACCTCTGGTGTTCAAATCATGCCTAAAAATTGTTTTAGGCCCAGTAACCCCCTGCTGAACCGCATACACTACTCAACCCGAGAAGAGTATGCAAGCCTTCATGGTGGGGCTACCGAGCACCCTAAGGGTCCAAGCACCTAATCAAACAAAGTACAGGACTCTCCCAAGTACTGAAAACTAACCTACAACACCAGTCTCCTAAACCCAAACACCCGATTGTTGGGCAGGGCTCATAGTTTGGCGCAGCCTTCCTTGACGAGTGAACGTCTTCCGGACAGTCTAATAGTAATAAGAACAATGATAATAAGACTAAGAATAGGACTAATCATAATAATAATTAATAATAATACCAATAATAGAACAATAATAATGACAACAATAGTAATAATAGTGATAGTCGTAATGACAGTAATAATAGTCTGAGCTGCGGGCTCTTCACGCCAAGAATGGCGCAGAGGGACATGAAGACGGTAAAGAGGAAGAAACCTCGAGGGATTTGAGTCTACTGTCACTACAGGTAGATGTGGTCATATGGTACGTACAGATTGCTGAACAGCTAGGACTAGTATGTTAAGGGTTCCAGGTTTTAGTTTAAAGCCGCACCAAAACCTAAGTACTCAGGCTCTTGTAACAGCAATGGCCCAACAGAGGTGAATGTACAAGCATTGTGCTTGTGAGGTGTCGGCTCGATTTACCTCGTTTTGCCAAATTTGACGCTGTCTTGTCCTGAGTCTCTGTACAACGGGGCGTCGTGGCCCGCTTTGCCAGCCACTTTGCCTGTGGCCTGACCAATGACCACACAAGTGGGGATGAACGCTCAACCGCATACCCTAAACCCTAAAGCCTAAACCCTTAACCTTAAACCCCTGGCCCTAAACTCTAAACCCCTAAAGCCGTAACCCTTAATCCCAAACTGCCCCATTCGCCCTAAGGCCGATGCCAAACACGTTTGACATCGTCTCCTCCTGGGACGTCAGCAACTCCTCAGAAGCTCGAAGTCACGTCTTCTTCAAGGTTTGAAGTTTTGTTGTGTTGCTGTTGTTGCCGGTGTTGTTGTTGGGTGTGAGTGTGATTGTTTTTGTGTATGTATGCTTGTATGTATGTAATGTATTGCAATGTAATGCAATGTAATGCAATGTAATGCAATGCAATGCAACGTAATGCAATGCATGGTATGGAATGGTATGGTATGTATGTATGTGTGTGTGTGTGCATGTATGTATGTATGTATGTATGTATGTATGTAAGCATGCATGTATGTATGTATGTAAATAAATGTGTGTGTGTAGGCATGTAAATAAATGTGTGTGTGTGTGTGTCTGTCTGTCTGTCTCTGTCTCTCTGTCTCTCTGTCTCTCTGTCTCTCTGTCTCTCTGTCTCTCTGTCTCTCTGTCTGTCTGTCTGTCCGTCTGTCTGTCTGTCTTTTCTCTCTTCTTCCTTCGGGCTTAAGGGG